GGTTATTCACGAGCAACGTTCGTAGAATGTAGCGAAAAAATTCAACAAGAGAATGGTGATGAAGAGAGAGTGAATTATTCGAGCGTGAGTAAAATATCTCCCTCTATTTCGAGTTATGGTATTATTATAGGACAGTTGTCAATTCCTTCAGCCAATTCCTACACTTATGCACTCCTCTTACTAGAATAATCGCATGCTTAAACGTATGATAGATACGCGATTCCTATTAAACAATAAACTAAGTTAAAATGAGACAAACCAGTTTATTACATTGACAAAAACACGTGTCTCTTATCTGTGTGTATCAGCGGTTGAGGATTATCCAATAATAAAATAATTGTACAGCATCGTAGAGAGTTTGCAGACTTGTATAGAAATGATTGCATAAAAAGAGATTGGACTGCGTCTGTGGTTTCATACATACTCCCATGTCACATTTCATTCGGCATGCTTATGTATCTGATCATTGACGTTACGTCTTTCTTAGCGGATGCTTAATGAGGCTACCGTGCATGTTTTCATAACGAAAAGATCCTACGACTAATATAACCAGTACCCGATGTAACAACATAACGTAGCCAACCTATCTTATTTCAATATTTCTCTGCCATTATTAATAAAGAAAGAAATTGAGATTATGCAATTACAATGGTTACCCTGAGTCACTGACATAAATCACTTATACGTTCATTTACAAGAAGGAAACTTTTTTGCCTTTTACCCTGTAAGAGTTTTGCTAATAGATTCTACTTTAAACTAGCAAGTCATGAAAACAGAATCGAACAAAAACAAATAATATGCAAAAATGAATAATATTTGAAGAATGATAACGTAGAAATTTCCAACTTGATTTCCAATTCCAATCTTTTTAGTATAAAGTTTGTGCTTAGTTATTTTAAATCTGCTTGTTGCAAAGCAATCAAATACGTAGTGGGGTGATTTCGTCAAAGTTTTTTTTGTTTTTTGCTAAACTTTTTATCACCACCCTGCCAGTTTTTAAGATCATGGACTAAATAAATTTGACTTCAGTTTAATTATAGTAAGGTAAATGCTTATACCAACCATTCGAGTATTTTAATTGCGTAACACGCTTTAATCGTTACTGATGATATTGGCCAATAGATTGGCAGTCAACAGTCGAGCCGATTCAGACATGAATTTTTGAAAGGGGTTTAATTATCGTTATAAAAACCTGAAAAACTGTATTTTGAAATATTTTTCAGATGTCTATTGATAAATTTGATGGTAAGTTCGTAGTTCTCAATTGTACTAATCCGTGAAGGTCTTACTATTCTATCTGTCTGTTTTAGATACTGAAGACTTTGGTGTAGATTTAAATAAGATTAGACTGCCGTCGTCTGAAATTTTAACACATTTTGAAGAACAATTAAAAAAACTTACGTACGATGTGTTGTATGACTTGTCATCAATGTCCATTGAACGTGATTTATCAATAACAGTGAATGAATTAAATGTAAATACCTCTTTAATATCAATTGGTATGTATACAAGACTGACAGTATATAGGAGTTTTTATAATATATTCGGTATCTATCGCTCAAGAAAACATTAATGCTTTAGGATGTTGATCTTATATTAATTAGGTGATTATTAATTTCAGATGATAATCAATCAACTTCACTTTGGCTCAAAAACAATATTAATCCTACTTATCGTCCTCAAGGAAAAAGTGATTGTTTTCCCATAAATGGTCGAAATGCTGGGATTCCACAGCCGCCACATTACATCAAAGATGAACGGAATGGTTTTCCAATAATAATGGTAAATGTGAGATCATAAAATCTATATGTTTCATATGATTAACATCCATCGTGCTTGATTGTTTAGATACCGGACAAGTATCGTCATGAAAAACATTTATTACTTGAAATTTCATGGTTAACAATACCTTATAATGGACAAAGATATTATAGTCCATATAAATTTCAACGAGATCATAAAGACAAAAATGTCAAAGATCGAAATCCAGTATATTATGAAATTAATGAACAAGAACTTTTGAATAATGAAATAAAGTGAGAAAAATAGCATGTCGAAAATAATATACAGTTTGTCTAACAGTAATTTATAATAACAATTTCCTGTTCGGAAGTAATATTTTTCATGTTGAATAAAATGTATTTAACCCATCTAGATAGCTGATCTTTATATAAAATATTTTGTTATAATTTTATAGGTTAAAACTGGTATGTATTAGAAGTTTATTAAAAGAATTAGAGAATGTTCAACCACTAGAATTATATAAGCCAGATTCACATTATCATCAAGTTAATCAGCCATTAGGTAATGGACACCTAGTAGAAGTTCATATTTTAGTTTTTTTAATATTCACATTTATTTTCTGATAGGACGAATGCTAACACTACGTGAATTGATTCAAAAATATCAATTACAGAAATCTCAAATGGCGTTTACATTATGCCGATATTATGACAGTAATAGGAATGTAGATAATGCTATTGATCGAAAAACTGCACCGTTAACAAATGAGATAAACCAAAACAATATTCAACGTTTGATTGAAACAACAGTCATATCTAATGTGATGACTGAAGATAAACGTAAGTCACGAATAACAGCAATGATATGAGTCAATAATATTTTGTTTTATTCTTATTGTTTTTAGGAAGACAACGAAAGATTACACTGGAAAGTTAGAGCACAAAAATCAGAATTTGTTGAGGGATAGAAAGTTTATCTATTGTTGGTCTTTTAGACGATGAAACAGCTGAGACAAGCACATTACAAATAAATCGACGAACAAAACGAAGAAATGGAGGAGAAATAACGACAATAGTATCGAACAAAAAATGTCGTGGTCTGTCATCGGAAGTACGCGTCACTTATATGATGTTTTATTATTGATTTTTATCTGTTGATGAGTTGAATTGAGTATGCAATAATCTTTTGACTATTCAGATATTTTTGTTTTTGTTTAGGACGAAGGTTGAAGGGCCTCATCCGCGTCATTTTATAAGCAATCGTGTACGAACAATATACAGTGACTTGCAATCAACAACTTAATTTACTAGAACTTTATTTTCCAAAAATAAACTGTTCGTGTTTGATTTTGTGCGAGTTTTCTATATTCTTTTCTACACAAATTCTTATTTTTTGAATAAATAAATAAATTTTCCGTTTAACAAGCTAAATCTTTGTTACTGATTTTTAGAAATAATACTGATGTGATCGTCGGAATGAACTAAATGGCATCTTGAGATAATTTGATTTAAATCTGCTTCCTGAAATACCACAAAAGTGGTCAAAGTATACCCGCCACTCTATAACTCAAGATTCATCACAGTTAACAATTCCATTGAATATCTCTCACTAAATACGGATTACCTAACACATCTGTAAGGGGACTAAATACTGTATCGTTTCATCAAAATATACTAATGACTCTGTTTTAATTATAGTATATATTTGATGTATCGACTGTTAATGGTTATTGGAAGACAACTGTTGTATACTCAACAGACATGCTTAAAATTTCATGCCCCAGAAAAACTGAGCCTGTAAACATTATTTTAACTGGAAGTCTTTTCAGGAAATATAGATGTGACTATGCAGACTATTGTTCCAGCGTTTATTATTAATGAGCGTTATTATTAATGAGGAGGCACTAATAGCATATAATTGATACACGAGCTTGAAACACTAAGACCCATCCTTTCTATCATATTGCCAGCACAAAACCATTTGATGAAGCAGTGAGATTCAATTTCGGATAGATAAAGCAGAGAACTACTATGAAGATCATTTTTATTAATAATACTACTTAACAAGTAAGCGTAATGGAGATGCGAGCTTACATAAACGCTTATATTGAAAATTATTTATATTGAAACGTTCACATTGAATATTGATTTATATGCCTGAAGATGATCTCAGTGAGAGATCCAAAGCTTGCATCTCTATTATGCTTATTTGTGAAATGACATTATAAAAATGACCTTCATAGCAGTTCTCTACTTCATCTATTCGAAATATCGTCAGCACTTGGGATATACATTATGAAGATGGTTGCATCTCATTCTGAACTATATCTGAACTATATATGAATTTCTCAGATCATATAATAGAGTCATCCGAATTTATGTACACCACGTTTCAAGCTCTTGAACAGTTATGGTGGAGGATTTCATTGGATGCATCGTTTGGATGCGGTATTTATCTGACGAAACGGATGATCATTCAACATTTAAAGTTGTTAACTGTCATCGATCGTGAGTTATAAGGTGGCGGGCATACTTTTGATCATTTCTCTGGTTATTCACGAGCAACGTTCGTAGAATGTAGCGAAAAAATTCAACAAGAGAATGGTGATGAAGAGAGAGTGAATTATTCGAGCGTGAGTAAAATATCTCCCTCTATTTCGAGTTATGGTATTATTACAGAACAGTTGCTAAGCGTATCGAAAACGTGTGTGAACTATAATATTGGCCGAAAAGTTGTCATCGAAGTGTATAAGAAATTACTCCGTTGTTTTCGTCAGAATAACTTTGTTAATAAAGAAAGAAATTGAGGTTATGCAATTACAATGGTTACCTTGAGTCATTGACATAAATCACTTACACGTTCATTTACAATGACGAAACGAAACACGTACAAAAAATAATTATCATTTTTTCTTTTCATTCCCATAATTCAGATTAAAAGCACTAATGATTCATGAGATTCTTTAGTTTTAATACAACAATTTCAGATATGTTTGATTAAAAGCAAAAATAATTAAATATTTTGAAAAGAACAAAAAAAATGACCAGAAAGAAAGTGAGAAACAGAGATGCTTAAAAAACCTCGAGCAACTATTATTTACAAACTTGTATTTCAATTAGCCTAGTGCATGTTGAACACTGAACTGAACAACACCAAACAAATTTACAGTTACATTTTTCTTGTACATATTTTCGAATAGTATTATATCCACGCCCACAACACATAGCCTTACAACTATCTGGTCCATGCGATGTTTTATTACATAGACGATCTTTTGTTCCAAATGATCCAATTCTCGGATTATAATCACAAAAATTTGATTCATGAATATATATAAGATCATCTTTAGTTGGTCCAGCAAAACGTCGATCACGTGTACGAATTTGTGGATGTGTTTGTTGTTGTCGATTTTTATTACCACCATGACCACTAAAACGTACTTCCACTGCACTATCATATTTTTCTTTGAGAAATAAGCCAATTTCACGAAATGTTGGTAGTTGTTGATAACATGTACGTAATGAACATGAACCCGATACTCCATGACATTTACAGACGACACGTGTTAAACGATAAACAGCCTAAATAATATAAACAAATGAACGTGTATCATTATCAACAACGTTACATCTAAAATTACTTACTCTTCGCCCGGCTTCATTATTATGTAAATTCATTTGTCGTCGTACTTTTCGACGATTCATTTCTCGTCTTTTTTTCAATAATGAATGATCATTAATTATCGAATAGTCATTTAATGTTAGAGTATTATTTATTGTATCGACTAGAATCGGAGAAATTGGTAATATATCAAGTTTAATTTCATTCTCTGGTGTATCAACAAAATCACGAGAAAATCGATAACCATAATCAACATTATCACCACATCTTCAAAAGAAAAATGAATCTTGTACAAAGAGATTGACGTTTCAAAATATCACTTACCCTCCCCAAGACCAATCTCTAGGTAAATTTTTTGGTCTTGATGTTCGACTACATGTACATGATTTTAATAGTCCTTGTTTACAAGCACGCGATACAGCATACGTTACACCAGCTGAAGAGATGGCATTAGCAAATGCTGTTTCACGATTAGCTTAATAGAACAAAAAAGAAAAAGATATAGTTTGATGATACATTCTAATTTTTTTAAAGTTAAATACCTTGTTTTAAAACGCCTCCAAACACTGTTCCATCATGTACAATTGAACAATTCCAATGTCTATCTTGAAATTGAAATTGACATTCTTGAATACCTTTTGCTGTGCCTTGACTGACAATTGGCATATGATCGGCATGTAATAAACATATTTGTTTTTGACCGGTACTTAATCCGGTTAATGATGAACAATATTGTGAAGGATCGTCTAAAAATTCGGTAATTTGTTGTTGTTGTTGATCAAGATTAAAATATGGATTAGATGAAATAGAAGATTTTTGCTGTTGTTGCAAACCAATATCCCTAAATAATTAATAGAATATGAAAAGTGTAAACAAATGAGAGATTTAAGAAAAAATATTCAATAACTAACTTACCACCATAGAGGAGCAATTAAATGTGCATACTGTACAAATGTTAAACAATATATAATCGATCTAATTAATTTCATGTTCAACGAAGTTCATCTCTTTCTCATTGTAATTAATATTATTGTTATTATTCTACAATTTAAAAAATAAAATAATGAACAATTATCAATTAAAATTTATGAACAATCAGTGAATATATTATTCAAAAATATGTTTAAATGAGACTAAAAACAAAAAACGAAACATAAACACAGTATACAGTCATCTTTTGATGATTAAAGTAGTTTATCACATGTAATACACTTGTTGGTCAATACTGAGAAAAAAAAACACCATATCAAATTGAAAAACAAAAAAATAATTTTAAATCTTATATAATCGGATTGACGCTTCATCATAATTGTACTTCATAAAATTATATTATAATTATTTTTTGTTTCAATCAGTTATAATTCGCATGATTAATCGTCTAATTGAGCTAATCGTATGTAATAAAGACTTTATTTTTTTAGTTCTCTCTCCTGCTGTGCTTATTAAAAGGTCAACTTTTTCTATATTTGACGAAAAAATAAAAATAACTCGACGACGAAAGTATAGTTTTCTGATTTTATTTTTCTTATCAAAGAAGAAGAAAAAGAAGAAAAAAAAATGTGACATCCCAAAATTCTGTTTAGATTGAATGTACCATAGACAATGATTAACATTTTCTGTACATTGTTCAAAAAAAAAAAACATAAAGTTGAAAAAACATTTGATACGATATTAAGCACTTCAAATTTTAATAGAGGATAGATGGTGTGAAATTTATCTTAAATAATTGTTGATGCAACTAAAAATGTCTTCTTTTTTAATGTTTTCTTTACTAATGTATCTTTCACCGTAATGACACACACATCTATCGATATTTAGCGTAACAAACCTCTCGTTCAGATAACATTCATATTGATAGGAGGAGAAAAATGAAGTGTGCTGTTATTCTATTGTATTTTTTCTTCTCCACTATTCCTAAAGTTAGCGTAATGTATCAGTTAATCATTTTTTTATTTTTCATGTATATAAACAATCTTGTATATTTATTTTTTCAAATAAATGTTCTTATTCTTCAATAGTGTCAGATACACTTCTCCATTATACACACGTAAGGAATAATAATAATAAACATATGTTATTCATTTGACAACAATAGTTATATGGGTGGTATGGTACAGTTTTTTTTTTTTTTTTAGTTTTTTTTAATAGAGTGTCAGTAGGATACTTACCAGAGTATGTATGTTCAACCTGTCAATAAAAGAGTTGATATATATATTGTGAAAGAGAACAAACATTGTTCAATTTTATTTATATAATATCATCTAAGTGAATGGCACCATCTTCATCATCATAAAAATAAACAACAATTGCTGTCAATTTTTTTTTTTTTATTTGAAAAATAATAACAGAACATATAATAATGTCTAACAAAAATATCACAAGTAATAATAGTCTATCACACGTATACACATCAAACGATTTCAATTGATTCAAAAAAAAAACAACAGAGTCAGTAAAAATTTACATTTTTTCAATTTATCATTATCGAATCAAATCAGGAATACTCACAGATCAAACGATTAGAAAGATTAACACATCATACAAATAATAATAACAACAACAAATGTCGCATAAAATTAGATAGACATTAGAAGGAGAAGAAGAAAAAAAATTATATATCAATCAATTTTGTTTCATCTTTTGAAATAAATGAATTTAACAAGTGAAAAAGAAAAACAAGTCATATTTAATCTGCCTCTCTTTTCTACTGTTGAAAGGTAGTCACATTTGAATTTAATCATTTTTGTTTTTTTTAACTTGTATATTCTTTACAGATGTTTTTTTTTATCATATGTCATCCGCGTTTACTATTAGTTTTAAATTGATCTTTAAAAATTATACAGAATTAGTTAAATCATTGTAGACGGTATTTGTCTAAATTAGCATCTTTATTTTAGTTAAGATGTCTCTATTTATTGTTGATATCTCTATGGGACTGACATCCTAATACTTTAGTCAAATAACTATAAAAAAATAAGACAATTGAAAAGAAATTTGTCACAAAGAAACGTGAAAGGTCACTTCATTCAAATTTATCATATCAATAATTTGTATATATAGTCGATCGATTATGGTCAATGAATAATAATGAAGAATTTAGAAACATCATTTGAAATCAATGAATCAAAAAACAAAAAATAAAAATAAAACTTCTTTTTTTCTTTTTTTCTTTTTTTTTACACAAGATTGACTCGTTTAATGATAATATGTTGAAGAGAAATGACATCTTGCAACATGATTGTACGATCAAATAACAATCAATGGTGTCAATCGCCTCGAAATTAATTTAGAAAAGAGAATTGATTTTTTTACTATATCATTTAAAAATTCAACGAAAAATGAGTGATTTGTTTAACTAAAAAATCACGTATTTTGAAGAAATAAGTTTAATAATCTTCTTTATAGGAAAAAAAATCTACGTTTTAATGTTAGAAAGATGAGAATTATTTGAAGAATGTATGAGAAAGTTTTTGGTTTTTTATTTTTTTTAGAAATTTTCATTAAAAAAAAGTCTTGAATTAAGATCTTAAGATAGAAGAAGTTTTACTTGGATGAACTAAGCATATTCAGTAGATTTTTTTCATTCTCTCTCTCTCTCTTTGCATATTATGCAAACAAAACCTTTCTTTCTTCTCTGTGTATGTATAAGTACATCTATACACATCCGATTTAAAAGTGAGTATCAACTCATGACGATATTGGGGATTATAGATATGTAATCACATTTTTTGATTGAATGATATGATAAAAGATTTTCTCAGATTTATAAAGCGATTAATAAAAATGTTGACTCTCTCGTTTATGTTTGCAATAAAAATCTCTTTGGATTAAATGTACGATGACTGACCGACTTAAACATCAGACATTGCATACACATACAACACATTCACAGTTTAGAAGAAGAAGAAGAAGAAGAAAAAGAAAAACGAAGAAAAAAACGTGTGAAATCAACAATAAACAGTGTTTTATTCATGAGAACATATAATAATGAAATCAAGTCTTGTTATATAACATTTTTTGATCATCAATTTACAGTTCACATTATGAGAATTTTCGTTTGTAAAAGACTTGTTAAATAGTTTTGTATTCAGCATAGATATGACAGATATTTTCGCGTTCGGTGTATCGAGAGAGAAAGAAAATTCGAACATTTTAAAATGTATGTTTCAAAAAATCTCAACATAAACTACGTAGTAGAATTTTTTAAGATTTCTATCACTGATAATCACTGTAGTTCAAGATTGAGTCTGTAAGACGAAATGCAAAACATCTGTTATCATTTCTGAGTAATAAGTTTTGTGAGAAGAATTTAAACGTGATTGTTAACTTGTTCAAAGTAGACATTGAATGGATCGTAGTCTAGTTGTCTATTAATATCTAATCTTACGTTATTCGTTTTGAAAACTTGAGAAAAAAATTATTTTTTCATATTAAGTTGTTAATTTGAATGTTGCTCAATATAGCATTTATCTGACAAACGATTTATTTATGATCGAAGTTCGTTTTATCAAATTATTTGTATAGTATGTATATCACCTTTTTGTCTTCAACGATACAGAAATAAAATAATCATATTTCTTTTTACAAAATAGTGTTAATCAAAAGTAAATATGCGACTAACATTCTTCTCTCTTCTTTTTGTGAACGATGAACAACAATTTTAATGTTTCTCTAACGTTTATCTCATAATTTTAAACACTTTACTGTCAATGATCATGCTAAAATATGCGTGCATAAATTCAATCATGAGTACTACTACTATTACGAGTCAAGGTTAACCTTTGATTCGAAGCAAATATAATAGGTAGAGATAATAAATGTTTTCCCAGTGACTTTTCCCCCTCTCATTTTCTTTTTTCTCCCTCTAATCATCGGTGAAATATCCGCGTATCATATCTGGATTACATGATTAATCAACGATGTGATATTAAATCTCAATCATCATCATTTTATGATTTATTCACAGTTCTTTCTCTCTCTTTTTTTTTATGAACTGATGATAAATCTGTCGAATAAGTACATCAATATCATCACAGTTTACTATTATAACCATCCCCTCTATCATTTTAATATGTCATACATGACTTTGACAAATGTGATATATTCAAGCAATTTCTGAGAAGTCGGATCTAGTTGAAAAAGTTTGACTCAGATATTATCGTCTAGTGCTTTTCTTATTGTATAAAAGTCACTTTTTTCCACAACAAAAATAACAAAACCTGAAGACAAAATCTAATCAAGAATAACAATGATATACTAAACTACGTTCAACATAATATTGAGATGATAAAATAAAAAAAGTGGAAAAATTCTTAACTTATGTAAATATGATTTTATGGTTTATTTGTGATGAAAATGAGCATCTCGCGCTCTGTATAGGTGTGCACCGATTAAAAACTGCTGTTTGCGCTTTCATGAAAATTGTTATAAATCGTCTGTAAAAGATTTCTCAGAGTCGTGGAACGTCTCATTTTGTGGAGAAATGTTTATACCATAATCCCGTATAAGCAGAAAAATTTCGAGGTTATCCATACTGCAAATATAAGCATTCTAAAGTGCACTAAATTTAGAAAAAAACCTTGTTCGAACAGGTTTTTTTCTAACTTTAGTGCACTTTAGAATGCTCGCACTTTTGTTAGAAATGATTTCAAGTGTTTTTTCACAGCCAAATTTTCTAGAGCAAACATTTTTCTACAAAATGAGACGTTTCACGATTCTGAGTAGTTCTTTATAGGCAATTTATAACAATTTTCGTGGAAACCCCAACAGCAGTTTTTAACTGGTGCATGTCTAGCTCTGTAGTCACTTTTTAACAAATAAACAAAAAATGAAAACTAAAATCTGTTCAACATACTTAAATTTTTTCAACTTGAGACACATCTTAGATAAAGAACAATGTCGATATGATTATTAAATTGAAAGTAATAGATTTTTTATGTATTCTTTTAATTAAGTGTTGACTGTCAGTCCCATATCAAAAATAATATAA